GAAAGTCCTAAGAGACCTTTTGTGGTCCTGAAGCGGTTTGCCGTCATTATCCCTTTGAAGCATCTCTTTTGAAGAAGTGGACTGCACCGCCTGTTGTGGATCCTTCTATTTCCAGGCTGAATAAGGCCACTTTGATACTGGTGGAGGAGTCTCGATCCTTTAAGGACCCGGCAGACAGGTGGAATCGGTCGCACGCATGATGTTCTCTATTGCCGGCTCGGCTCTTCATGCGGTTTTAGCCAATACGCTGGTGTCTCAGACCCTTACGGAATGGGTCAAACTACTTCGAACGGCCTGGATGGGGAGCAAGTTCTCCTCGCTTACATGAAATTGGCAGACTAGTTGGTCTAGGACCTTAAGTTTGTGTGTGACGTGTCCTTAGATGTGGCCCCCTTGCTCTCTAAGCTCTCCGTTTCAGCAGTGGTGTTTCAACGTGTGCTGTGGCTCAAATGCTGGTCAGTTGACCAGACCTCAAAACAGTCTTTAATTTGTCTTTGCAGGGTGATCGCCTCTTCAGGGGGTACCCTGAATGCAATCATCAAGAATCTAACTAGGGGAAAGAGTACCTTTCTTCCACAGTTCGAAAAGGGTAAGGCATCATGTCACAAGCGCAGTCCCTCTTTTTCTGCACACAAGAAGCCTTTTCGTCCCCCTGGATCTGCAAACAATGGTTCCAAGCCCTTCAAGGCCCCTGTGGCGGGTACCAAGCACCCCTGGACTGCCAAGCCTGTCAAGTTAGTGGACAAGTGTTCCTTTGCAAGGTACGCCACTATCCGTATCCAGGTGTGGGTGGTCGTCTGCGCTGGTTTGTGGCCCTGTAGACCTACCTGATCTCCTACAAGTGGATCACTCTGCACATTCCCAGTGCAAACAATTGGCAGGCGGATTACCTCAGCTGTCAAACATTGGCCCAAGGTGAGTGGTCCGTGCATCTCCGATGTGTTTAATCAGATTTGTCTACGGTGGGGCACTCCTGAATTGGATCTTCTAATGTCTCGGTTCAACAGGAAAGTGCTGAGATCTGTGCCCAGGATGAGGGATCCTTTGGCAGAAGAAATGGATGCTCTGGTCACATTGTGGAGTCAATATCATCTCATATACAATATGTGTTCACTCCTGTCAGGAAATACGCATTCTGGTGTGCAGAACAGTTGTTCACAGCTGATTTGTGGGTGTGCATGCATGCGAACAAGTGCGTGAGTACAAACACCAGGCAGGCTATTTAAACTGCAGTATGGCCTGGGGTCCCTGTGCTTGGTCTAATACGTTCTCTGAAGCATCTGAAACCTGTTCCTGTATTGACTCTCTGTTACCGACTTGATCTGCCCCTGACCTTGCCTGAAGGGTGCCTGTACTGATTCCTGGCTTGTCCTTGGTTTTCATCTCTGCCTGCTCCTCCTGCTTATACAGCTACCGTTGCAGGCCCGGGTTTGACCTTGACTATTCTTCTGCCTGCTGTGTTGTACCTTGATCTGCTTTTCAGTTTCCAACCCATACTTCCTGACCCTGCTCTCTGCATCTGAACCAGCTGACTTGTGTCACTTGCCATGCTGGGCTTCCCTCGGCACAGCCTGCTCTACGGCAATGCACAGCCTGCTCTACGGCAATGCACAGCCTGCTCTACGGCAACTCACAGCCGGCTCTACGGCAACACACAGCTGGCTCATCAGCAAAGCCAGCCTGCCATTCAGCAAGAACAGCGTACTCCACGGCAACACACTACCTGTTCATCCTCCAACAACATGCAGCTCTCCGGCATCCTGCATCAGGCTCCACTACCAGGTATGTTACAGTACGTTACAGTACCAAGAGGCCATGTTAGAGTCTGAGAGAATGGGTTCTCCATTGGATGAAATTTGTCAACATATTGCAGCACTGACTCAAGCTATTAAAAGCATTCAAGAGGGGTATATACAGCTTGAGAGCTGCATCCAAGGCCTACCTACACCTGTGACCTCTGCAACAGCTACTCCTCCGGTCAGTTCCAGCAACATCACAAGCAGCTGCTCCTCCTACCATGACGATGCTTACTCCAGAGCAAAGATTTCCCACATGCATGCCAACTATACTCTGCACTCGAAGCAACGACAGTCGGCTTTGTCATCGCACTGTTACAAGGGGAACCACAAACATCGGCTCATCGCCTTCTGGAAAAAGAGGATGCCATGCTCTCCACCCTCAACTCTATCTTTGACACTATGACACTCCTATATGATGACCCCCAACATTCCACTTCTGCTGAGGCAGCCCTCCATTCCCTCCAGCAAGGAATATGTAACTGAATTCAGGCGCTGGAGCTCTGATACAAATTGGAATGACGCTGCCTTAGGCTATCATTTCCACCTGGGTCTCTCTGAACCTCTAAAAGATGAACTGGCTAGAGTGGGGTCCCGAATTCTCTGGAAGGACTGATTGACTTATATATCCAGATCGACAGGAGACTCAGAGAGTGACGACTAGAAAGATCCACTGGTCTATCTCGCCCTCTGTGGATGTTACCCAAGGTGTCACCTCTGGTTACTCCTGCCTTCTCTCGTCCTGTTCGAACGGCAACATCGTCGTCAACACAATCTAAGTCTCTACTGTGGTGAAGGAGGTCATTATTTGCGTAACTGTCCAGCCACGCTCCGAAAGTGCCTGTCCATTTCCTCTAATTCTGAAGTACTGAACCCCACACAAGTAATTCTACCTATTTCATTTCAGCTCCTGGGAAGGGCTATTCTGGTGTCTGCCATAATTGACTCTGGAGCTGCAGTTGTTTCATTGATCTATCTTTTGCTGCAAAACACCAGATTCCCTTGCATCCCAAGGGTCAAGGACTTTCTGTATATTTGGCCAATGGGTCCAGCATTCAGTCTGGGACTGTTACTCATGAAACCATCCCTCTGCCAGTATCCTTTTTAAATCATAAGGAACTGTTGTGCCTCAATGCCATATCCTCTCCACTGTACCCTCTCATCTTGGGCTTACCTTGGATGCACACCCACAACCCTCGCATCAACTGGGCCACAGGAGAGTTAAACTTCCAATCATCCAATGCCAGGAACATTGTCTACCCAAGATTTTGATCCAGGCCCCTACTCTGCTATGTATGGACACTGACAAAGAGCTGTGTCTAGTGATTCCAAAAATCTATCATGGCATCCTGGATGTCTTTAGCAAGCCTTATGACTGCCCCATCGAATTATTGCCATTGCTCCCATTCGGACGAATCTTCCCTTTTTCTGAACTTGAACTTGAGGCTTTGAAAGAATATCTGGATGACAGTCTTAGCAAGGGATTCATCCGGCCTTCCACTTTTCCAGCAGGGACCAGGATTTTCTTCATGGAAAAGAAAGACCATTCCCTCCAGCCTTGTGAGGATTACAGTGAGTTATACACAATTACTGTGAACAATCGGTATCCCCTTCCATTAATTCCTGAACTATTCCAAAGACTCAGATCTGCCTCAATCTTTAATAAATTAGACTTGCGGGGAGCCTACAATCTGGTACAAATCCGGGAGGGGGATGAATGGTAGATGGCCTTTGGTCACTTTGAATACCTGGTAATGCCATTCGGATTATGTAATGCACCAGCAACATTTCAATATTTTGTCAATGATATCTTAGATATTTTCATTATCGTATACCTAGATGACATTTTTATTGCAATTTCCCTGTACACATGTTCAAAGTGTTCTGGAGTGGCTTAGGCAACATGGACTGTATACAAAACCTGAGAAGTGCGAATTCGAGCAACAAAGCATTCAACTCCTGGGACTAATTATCACCTCAGATAATTAGTCCCAGGAGTTGAATGCTTTGTTGCTCGAATTTGTACTTCTCAGGTTTTGCATACAGTCAATGTTGCCTAAGCCGCTGCAGAACACTTTGAACATGTGGATCACGATGGATCCACAAAACGTTTATGCCATCTTGGATTGGCCAGCACCGATTGACAAGAAAGAGTACGACGCTTCGAAGGACTAATATCTACCAGAAATTTATTAATAGGTTTTCTGCAATTATTACACCCATTACTGAGCTAGCCAAACAAGGTACCCATTTTTGCTGGACTCTGGAAGCCCAAGCCGCATTTGAAACCTTAAAGGGACTTTTCATATCATCACCTATACGAAGTCATCCTGATCCTGCTCTTTTTTACATTTTGGAAGTCAACACCTCAGAGAATGCGGTAGGCGCAGTTCTTTCACAGCACCAAGGGCTAAAGACTATTCTTCATCCAGTGGCATTCTTCTCACGCAAACTTTCCCCCGCCGAGAAGAACTATGATGTGGTGGACCGTGAATTGCAGGTGATCAAGTCTGAGTGGAGTGGAGATATCTCTTGGGAAGAGTGAAGAAAGCTCTTGGAAAGGGGTCTGCCCATCCCATCCTGATCTTCACAGATCATAAGGACTTGGAGTATTTGAAGACAGCCAAACATCTGAAGTCATGTCAGGCCAGGTTGGCACTTTTTGTTTCTAGATTTGTTTTTCATATAACATAGACCTGAGTCCAAAAATGTAAAACCAGATGCTCAATCTTCAATACTGAGTTGGCCCACCCTTTGCAGCTATAACAGTTTCAACTCCTCTGGGAGCGCTGTCCACAAGGTTTAGAAGTGTGTCCATGGGAATATTTGACCATTCTTTCAGAAGCACATTTGTGAGGTCAGGCACTGATGTTGGACAAGAAGAGCTGTCTTGCAGTCTCTGCTCTAATTCATTCCAAAGGTGTTCTATTGGGTTGAGGTCAGGACTCTCTGTAGGCCAGTCAAGTTCCTCCACCCCAAACTCACTCATTCATGTCTTTATGGACCTTGCTTTGTGCACTGGTGTGCAGCCATGTTGGAACAGGAAGGGGCCATCCCCAAACTGTTCCCACAAAGTTGGGAGCATGAAATTATGCAAAATGTCTTGATATGCAAATGCCTAAAAAGTCCCCTTCACTGGAACGAACGGACTAAGTCCAACCCCTGAAAAACAACCCCGCGCCATAATCCCTCCTCCACCAAACTTTACACTTGGCACAATGCAGTCAGGTAAGTACCGTTCTCCTGGCAACTGCCAAACCCAGACACGTCCATCAGATTGCCAGACAGAGAAGCCTGATTCATCACTTCAGAGAACATGTTTCCACTGCTCTAAAGTCCAGGGCTTTACTCCACTTGCATCCATTGCTTTGCATTGCACTTGGTGATCTAATACTTGGATGCAGCTGCTTGGCCATGGAAACTCATTCCATGAAGCTCTCTATGCACTGTTGTGTTAATCTGAAGGCCATAAAAAGTTGGAGGTCATTAGCTATTAATTCTGCAGTCAGTTATCGACTTCTGTGCACTGTGTGCTTCAGCATTTGCTGACCCTGTCATTTTATGAGGTCTACCACTCTGTGGCTGAGTTGTTGTTGTTCCCAGTTGCTTCCACTTTGTTATAATACCACTAACAGTTGACCGTTGAATATTTAGTAGCAAAGAAATTTCATGGATGGACTTATTGCACAAGTGGCAACCTATCATAGTACCATGCTTGAATTCACTGAGCTCCTGAGAGCAACCCATTCTTTCCTTTTAAGATGCAGTCTGCATGCCTAGGTTCTTGATTTTATACATCTGTGGCCATGGAGGTGATTGGAACAGCTGAATCCAATGATTTGGAGGGGTGTCCCAATACTTTTGGCAATATGTCTGCCTTGATGCTTTCTAGCTTTCTGTGTGTTTTTCTCCCCCAAACACTGTGTGTGCACGTTTTTTTTTTTCTTTCACATTGTTTAATCCCATAAAGCTGGCGCCTCCCGGCCCCTCAAGGGGTTTCTGACACCAGGGGAGGAGGGGTTTAAGGTCATGTAACCACTGTCATTGGCTGTCATGGCAGTCACATGATAAGAAAGGTCCCGAGCACAAGAAGAGATCGGGACCTTTTTGTGGGACGCCGACACATGCGCAGGGTGTGCGCTCTCAGCACATGTTTGTTTACAAATGGTATGCAAATATGTGGCTGCTCGGCGTCAACGCCCAGCTGCTGAGAGGTCACATATTTGCGTACACGCGGCATGAAGAGGTTAAATATGTGTCTGCTTTGACTTATTCTTGAGTGAGTGTTTGCCCTGACACTGTGTAATAATGTCTGCTCTGACACTGTATGTATTTCTGCCATGATCCTGCATGTGTATGTTTGTGTCTGCCCAGACACTGTCTATGTGTGTCTCCTCCCTAACACTCTATGTGCATGTGTGGCTTCTCTGACACTGTGTTTAAATATGCATGTACCTTGACCTTGGTCTGTTCACACTGCCCTGACAACTGCTGCACACTAAAACAGTAGTTTAGTGTGCAGCAGCTGTCTGTTCTAGCTGCAGTGAGCCAGGGCAGGAGATGTGTGATGAACGTTTCAGTGTATCACAGTTGACTTTTTTTACTCAACTTTTTTCATTTCACTGTACAGCAGTGCGGTGTTCTGAGCTGCTGTACAGTGGCATGCAATTTCATCCTGTATGTTGTGATAAAATACAGCGTGTCTAAACTTTATTGCAACTCACTGCAGCACAGCTCTGGGCTGCATTTCAGTGTTGGTAGGACATGTAGAACGCAATTACTTTCTGTGTGTCCTAGCAGTGACTGGCATTCTTTCAGTGCAGAAAATTGCCAGTCACTGCACTATATGTTAACCTCTTCACACCGAACATACGCAAATATGTGGCCTCTCGGCTGCTGGGTCTTGATGCTGAATGGCTGCATATTTGCATGCCATTTGTAAATTTGCGTACCATTTACGAGCTCCCAGCTCGTGACGGCATATCACAGAATCGGGACCTTTCTGATCATGTGACCGCCGTGACAGCCAATCACTGCAGTCACATGAACCTAAACCCCAACTTCCGGCATCAGAAACCCCTTAAAAAGCCAGGAGATGCCGGCGCGAAGGGGTTAACTGGCCCTAAGTGTTTGCCCTGACACTGAGGTTGATTTACTAAATTCAAATAGGCTGTTCACTTTGCAAGAGAATTTTCTGCAGAACTTTTGTTGGATGTGGTGAAATTTCACTTTGCAAAACATATCCAAGTAAAAACAGCATTTTTGTGCTAGCACATGATTGGATGATATACTGTAAATTAGCATTGCTTCACTTCATTCACTAAATTCTGGGAATATTTCTCTTGCAAAGCGAACAGTCAATATGGCCTCATGCACTTCATCATTTAGGTCTCTTGCACACAGGAGTAAATGATTGTCTATGTTGTATATAGAGCCAAGCACGCAGCTGAGTAAAGATCAGTTATACAGTGAGTTGTACAAAGCTGTAATACAAAAAATAGAACATTTTATATTTGAGTGCAATAATTTACGTGCATACATGTGTTTAAGCATGTTTACGCACATATAAATTGGTATATTGCAACACTGGCAATGAAGAAAAAATGTACTCATCTATACACTTAGGCACCTTTATGCACCTATATGTGTTTACAAAACAACTTTAATGAACATTTTACACAGAATCTTTCTGTGAATAAGATCCTGCATACAAATATCAGTAAATTATTACGTCCGTGTGCAACTGGCCTTTACTGATTTTTTTTTTTTTATACTCAGGATCTTGATAAGATCCTGAATAAAAATACTGTGTGCAATCACCTTGAGTAAATATGAGTAAAGACACATAAAGATGAGCATAGGCGAGTAAAATCCTCTCTAGCTCCCAGAGCGTTAAGTTTTGCATATCTTGTCCCATTTTTCCTTGCATGTTGCTGCTCCCTGCTCTTGATAGAGATCGCTGGACAGATTCCCTGCTAATCAGAGCAGAGGGGGTAGATGACAGGTCCATGTCCTCTAAGTTTGTTTAGAGCGAACACGTACAGAGCCTGCTCTGCTCTATGAGTGGCCAGGAGTTAAGGGGCTCTGCTGTTCAATTACACTTAACTATGCTCCGATCTGATACGGGTAGGGAAAAGATCCTCTAGGGGTGCGCCGGAGGTCCTGCCCGCACTGGATACTGCTGCTCTAAGGAGCATCACAGGAGTTTATTCATCACCTAGAGATAGCGCAGCACCAATTAGTCTTCAATTTGTAATTTTCCATCAGGTATATGGTAAGGTGCTAGCAGCTTTTTAGTAAGAGCATGGGAGGACCATACAGATATAAGGATCTAATATATCTGATTCCACGTCCCATCCCTCCCTGGAACACACAGAGGTCTGAGAAGGGCTGCGGGAGTGGTGAAGAGAGACTGTCAGATCCTCCGTGGGATAAAGGACAGCCACAGGAGCTCACCTGCAGGTCGACTGTAGGCTCAGCTTGAGATGGAGAAAGAGGCTTCAGTGCCATCTTGGAAATTGGCTTATGCTTAGCAGAGGCCGAGGACTGTGTTAGGAAGCAGTCTAGATTGCCACTAGAGGATCTCCCCACAGATTTCTTGGGGTCCCTGGGATGATGCTTACCCATCTGGAGGAGTCTGTTGGGTCAGTAGAGGGTGTAGAATCCCATAGGAACCACGTGGACCGGCTCCATGCGCCAAGCACCCCCTGTTGAGATAACTTTAATTGACAATTACAAAAAAGGCTTATTTGTTTCAACTGATATTTAGTTTTAAGTAGTTCTTTAGAAAATGGTTTGCTCAAAAATGATTATGGTGTCAGTCATACAGCTATTTATTTCAACATGCTAATGTTATTCATCTTCTGTTGTCAGATGACCTCTTCCTGGCCAGAGTAGTAACTGAGGTTGAGTTTTTAGAAACCTTATTTTTAAAGTAACTGAACAAACCAAAATTTGGTCAGATAGTATTTTGTTCCACTTTGAAACTTGATTACTGTAATGTAGAAAAGTGGCACATAGCAGCAAAATGTCATACCATCTGTTGTTACTTTTTTATTTTCAAAAGCAGTCTTTTCACTTTGATCTTTTCTTCTCTAAAATTAATAGAAATTCTTAGAAACGTTATCAATTTCACACAGATGTCAAATGCTTCCTGGTATGTGATGTAATTTCTGTGGTATTGGTAGGACTTAGAGCACAGTCAATGAGCAGAGTGTACTGCACTATTGATTTGAGCTCTACTGCAGCTACATGTTTCATTTTATTGACGTGTAGTGATACCCCCGAAGGGGCTGCTTAAGTTTGTTCACTCTGCCTCTCAACCCCAAGAACTGTCTCAGCCCCAACTGACACACCTGGCAAAAGTGTAAGTGCAAGGACTAATGAAAAGCACACACTTTATAATAAAACACAGAGATCAGCTTTACTGTAAGACCTCTATGGGAAGTAATAAACATTAACAACAGGTATACGTTAGGTGAATCAAGAGAACAACAAATACTGTGACCGAAAGCAATATAGCTCACTTTTACCCTCATGCTGCTTTCAGGGGATTCCAACCATGAATAACCCCAAGAGCAGAGGCAAACACTTAAATGGCAACCTCAAAGTGGATTTAACTCCTCTACATAAATTCGGCTCTATGATGTCCAAGCAGGAGGAGAGCAGAAGAATTACTCTGTTGTGTCAGACTTCTACCTTCTAACCCCTGACACCACAAGCCCAGTAGGCAAACACTGTACCCAAATGGTGCTTAATAGCTACTTTCCAAGGTAAAGCTATTCCCTCACACACCATGCAATATAGAGGCCTGAATACGCATGAGTGTGCCCGTATGGCACCAGTAACTTCAGTCTCTTGGTAACAGGATGAATCTTGGGATCTTCAGCTAGCCATTTTCATTGGTGCACTTAAACGTCTATGGTAAAGTATAATTGTAATCCCGGGATAGTATTTGTAAAGCATAGCAAATACTGTGTCTGTTTAGCAGGGCCATCTACACAACCCAGTGCCTGGTGAGTATGGGCAAAGTGTGATGTCTCTGTCTGTATGCAGTGTTCTTGTCATCTGCCAGTGGGCAAAATCCCTCTCGCCAGATCCTCTGACTAAGGCCCAAACAATCGTCCTGGAAATGACAGGCTCCTCTGGTCACCTCACGATGAGCGCTTCTGTATTGTAGGTCCGCATCTCTGTTTGGATGTTCCCCTGACTGATACAGATAACTCAGCATGCTGTGAACTGACCCTAAGCACTTTTCTGCTAGGTCCAGACTGTTAACTTGCCACATGGAGACTGCCTCCCCTCAGGAAAAACAAGATGGAGTCCTTCACTCTGCTCTCACTAAGCATGATGGCCTTTGTAGTTCTATTTCTATATAAGGCCGTTTCTGTTCAAGACTGCATATTCCACACTGCTTTGCAGCTGCACCTCCTGCTTGAGAAAGTCCCTGTCATTGGCTCCTTTAATGGCTATTTTGATTGGCTCTCTCTCTATTACAGTCTGAGAGGAGAAGGGAGGGGCTGAAATCCCTCACTGTGCAAGTGTCAGGGTTCAGAGGAGATGCAAGTCAGCAGGTTACAGCAGTCACAAATAGGATTAATTTCCTCCAATATGCATGGAACAATGAACACTATTTATTATATTTAAAGTGCAATAGAACAAACCAAGTACTTTTTTTTTACTTAAAAAGCTGTTTTTAGTGTCTGTTGTAAAAAATGTTAAATGGTCAATTATTGTTTGTTGCCATGAAGGAACCACATAGACATGTCTTACCTTGCAAT